ATAAACTTAGCTGCGTGGGATTTTTGCCCTGAGGTCACCACTCTGTTAATTCCACTTACTATCCTTGAGCACAGGATGTAGCTTTGTTGCACTTCTTGTTGCCCCTTTAATACTTGAACCATACATTTTGGGTTTTTTCTTTCTAAACATACTGCTTGATCAAAATGCTCCTCATAATAATAAACCACAGGACAGAGTGTAAACTTCGTTGACTTGAAACTCCCTTTGTCAGTGTAATTAATCTGAATCTCTTCACCTTAGCCTCAGACAGACTCTTCAGACAAGGCAAAAAGCAGCTACATTCTTGACCAATATATCCCAAGAGCAGTCTTAAAAATTCTCCTGGGACACATACTAAATAAAACTCTCCTCCTCTGAAACCTTTCGAGACAGGCCCCCACAGTACAAATCACCCTCTTCCATGCTTCTACTAGAATGGCAAATTAAGGCCCACTTAAAGCATTTCACTGCTCTCCAAAGTCCTCAAATCAACATTCCCCCAAATGAAAGCATGGACAGGTGGGCGAGCAGGGACTCTTATCTATTAAGAGCAAGGGGTTTGAATCCCCCAGGGGAGAGGAGCGACAGGTCCTGCTCCACTCAGGGATCGTATACTGGATTTGACTGTGAGGTCATCAGCTCCTCGAGAGGGAAGAGAGTACACCAAGAGACAGAGAGTTTGTGGAATTCAGTTACTTCTTTAATGATAATGCACAGCAAGCAAACACAAACTCAAATGCTAAGGCTATTGCTACAACAAGATGTTGTCACATTTCCTATAGGTTGCCTCTAACAATATGCACAATTAACACACATAATAAGTTGTTAATTATCAAAGAAATAAGCATAGCAATAAGCACATCATTCATTCATGGATTATACGACCTGAGTCCTTTTGATTGTGTCGGGTTACAGGTTCAAGTCCTTGAAGGTGGGGTCAGGCTGTGGCTTCCAGATGGTTGAATTGCTAATTTGACCTCACAGAGTGCTAGACCATGAAGCTGGGGGGAAGCTGGGGGGGTTGTCTCTGTCTTGAAGTTGGAGCTTGACCTTGAAGTTGGAGGTGTAGGTCTCTTGGTTAACTCTTTGATGACCGGGTGCTGAGGAGGCTTTGTTCGGAGGATCACATTAGCCAGTCATGGCTACAAGTGTGATGAAGTGCTTCGGATAGGCTCTTCTTTTATGCTGAATTTAGCATTACTGATGACGTGCACGGCAGATAACCACTCGTGTCTGGTTATAGCCGGGCTCTGACCATTTCCAGACAAGTCTTTACAAGTACCAGACATGTCCAGACATGTCTTACAAGTTTCCTATTACAAAATGGAGTTGGTCCTGTTTAAGGGCCTGCTCCTTACAACAGGCCTATCATAGAAATACCCCAGCCCCTGGTGCCAACTTCTGTCTTACTTAGGGTTTCCACTGTTATGAAGACACACCATGACCACAGCAACTCTTATGAAGGAAAGCATTTAATTGGGGCTGGCTTACAGTTTCAGAGACTCAGTCCATTATCATCATGGCAAGAAGCAAGGCAGCCTGCAGGCGGACATGGTGGAGGAACCAACATTTCTGCAACTCCATCCAAAGGCAACCAGGGAAAGTGTATCTTTCACACTGGGTGGAGCTTGAACACTAAAGAGCCTTCAAAGCATGCTTACACAGTATCACACTTCCTCCAACAAGGCCACACCTATTCCAGCAAGGCCACACCTCTTAATAGTGCCACTTCCCATAAGCCAATCATATCCAAACCACCACAAAGTGTTAAAAGACGAAAACAATTTTTACTTCCAAGAATGGCCCACTTGGACACCTGGGTAACCATGATACCCAAACACATAAATCTAATCTCCCTCGAGGTGATCAATATGGAGCCCAATAAGCTTTCATTCAAAGAGATGGTCCTCTTGGATAAGGAAATTGATCCTCAGCATCCTTTAGCCGACTACCAATTACCTTCTATTCCTAGGTACTACATCAATCACATGATATTTTTAGAAACCTAATTGTTTCCTTAGTAGATTGATGTCAATAAGATGCCAAAAACCTAGGTGAATCACATTTAAAACCTGGATTGATATGAAAGAAAAGGTCAGCTCCTGTAATAGCATGGGAGAATGAATTTGGCAGCCTTCCTTCTCCAAATCTTTCTCTAGGAACCTGAAGAGATGGATTCCACACAAGCCTACTTCTTGGTTTCTGTTTTCTTGTTTGAGTTTTAATTTACTTATTTATTGCTGTTGCTTTATGTTTTGATATTTGCTTGCTTTAGACAAGGCCCCACTCTATAACCTAGGCTAGCTTGGAACTCACAATGATCCTCCTGCCTCAGCCTCTTAAGTGCTAGGACTATACGCAGGATTTACCATGACAGTTGTTCTGTCTCTCTGGTTTTTGTTTGTAAGGAGTGGCCAGTTCCAACCTGAGTTTTCTCCAACATGAATTTTCTGTACTGGATGCTTCTACTGAACCTTGGTGTTATTACAGGTCTAGGGTGGGTAGAAATCTGCAGTGACTGACAGGGCAGGTGAGCAGACCCCGATCTGAGACAGAATTATTAGAGATGCAAAGTGTAAACTCAGCACAGCATCTGGGCTGATATGACACAAATAAACCTCTCTTCCTGGAACAACTTTAACCTGAGAGGAGACGCTGCCCGGAGGTTTATTGTTGCCGGTGCCACAGACTTGACACCTCTCCTGATAAAAGACTTCGATCTCTGACCCAGGAAAGCTGCTACTCTAAAACTCAATTTGAGTATTGATCTCCTCCAAAGAGAAAGAATAGGAGGGTTGCTGGTAGGTGGAGCATCTTGGGGACAGGAGATCCTGTTCTTAGAGAAGGGCCCTCAGGCATCAAGCTTTGAAAGACATTTGCAAGATATTCAGCATCCTGAGCATTTTGGAGTCTCCAGCAGGAGCGTCCAAACTTTTGACCTTGAGACATGACATTGTGGTTGTTTTTAGTTAGGTTTTCATTATTGTAAAGAGGCACCATGACAAAGGCAACTCTTATAAAGGAAAACATTTAATTGGGGCTGGCTTGCAGTTTCAACAGTTTGGTCTATTATCATCATGGTGGGAAGCATGGCAGCCTCCAGGGAGACATGGTGCTGGAGAAGGAGCCGATTGTTATACATCTTGACACTAAGGAACAGATGGAGACTGTGTATCACACTGAGCATAGCTTGAGCATATATAACCTCAAAGCTACCACCCACAGTGACACATTTCCTCCAACAAGGTCACACCTCCTAATAGTGCCACTCTCTATGGGCCAATGAGTCTATGTGGGGGTGGGCATTCCTATTCAGACCACCAGAGTGATCTACACTTGTGTTAGGCTGCATTCATAGTTGTCTTAGGATATATTGGCAGTAGACTGGGCATGCCTAGGTTGTCTGCTGAACACCTTGATGAAACTTACTGTCTACCGTTCAAGCCCAGAGAGGGAACACTATTCTAGAATGGGTATTAATCTGATGCCAGAGCATATTTAGGGGTTGCCCCCACCACAATCCACATATCAGAACCTTGAGGAAATCAATCGAGTGTTTTTATTTGAAGCAGAAGTGGGGGCTATAGAAAAGCATGCTAGGGCTATCAGTCTCCCACAAAGGGAAGGGAGAGTTGAGAGTCTCTGGACCAAGAGACACTTGGCTCTAGGTATTGTCTACAACAATTGGAATAAAAGTGGCTGCCTGATGTCCGTCTTCTTTTTTACCTGATAAAATCAGACTTAGGATGATTGGAGGAGAAAATGGCTATGGAGGTGATCATTCCCTCCATATGATCAGGTTCAGCTGATCATTCCCTCCAAGGACAGAAATTCAAACACTGGTCATTGCCTCCACACTCGGCACAGTCCCAGGAAATCCCTGTTCTTAGGGCAGATAATAAATGGTAAACGATGGCAGTTTTGAGGAGATCTATGCTGACAAGTGGGTTGAAGGGATGGGAGCAAAGGCCCCTGAGGAGCGTCTTAGTCTCTGTTCTGTTGCTGTGATGAAACACCGTGGCCAAGGCCTCTTACAACAGAAAGCATTTATTGGCGGTTTTGCTTACAGTTTCAGAGGGATAGTCCGTGATCATCATGGCAGGGAGCATGGCAGCACACGGGCAGATGTGATGCTTGAGCAATAGCTCAGATTACATCCTGATGTATGAACAGGAAGCAGAGAGGGAGAGGGAGAGACAGAGAGAGACAGAGACAGACTGACTGATTATGGGTTTTTGACCACCCCCTACCCAGCAAGCCATTTCCCTGTCAAGGGCACATCTCCCCACCCTTTCCAAACAGTCCACCAACTGGGAATCAGACGTTCAAATGTATGACCCCACAGTGCCCATTCTCATCCAACCATCGCAAGGAGACTCCATCTGATTCCCAAGAGAGAGAAGGATAAACTCATGAGGAAAATTCCAGACAGGTGGATAACCTGAAGTGCAAAGGCTCTGAGGTAGGGAGAGGGTTGGTATAACTGAAACAGAGCCAGGTTGGAAATGCCTTAGGGCAGGACTCCAGAGATGCCCCAGATCATGCACCCACCGTTAAATCCTACCTTATGGTGGGAGTCTCTGTGGGAGTGGGTTGCTGCAGCCAGCCGGGAAGGGAAACAGCCTGGTTTGGGGTTAGTTTCATTTCCAAAGCTCTCAGGCTTTTGGAAGTTTAGTAACAAACGTGGCAACTAGAAGTGTTAGTGTAACGGTGCTCATGCCGTGCCTGAACCCTGGGACCTGAACAGCCCACAGCACATTCCCACGTTCTCTGTTTGACGATGTGCTTACTTTACATCCTCAAAAGCTTTTCATTTTCTTATTACTTCAACACCAGAAAAAAAAAATCAGCTGAAGTTCTTTTGATGAGGAAATATGGTTTGTGTTTATCAGTTTATTACAGTAACACTGAAAAAGCGTGTTCCGTGTCCGGTACAGCTTGGGTGTTTGCGTTATTTTGCTCTCTTCTGCTTTAACGGTTGTTCCACTTTCCTCCCACAGGGACCCAAAACATCCGTCCGTACCTTATCATTACTATGAGCCTTCTGGACCCGATGAATGTACAATGTACCTCTCTCACGAGCGAGGACGCAAGGGCAGTCACCACCGTTTCATTACAGAGAAACGAGTGTTTAAGAACTGGGCGCGGACATTCAACATTCACTTTTTCCAACCAGATTGGAAACCAGAATCCCCCGCTGTGACTCATGCTGAGGCTAAGCCTGTGTTCTGAGGTGTGAACGTGCTGGATAGTAAGGCGCAGCTTCCACACTGTCTGACACGAGAGGAAGGACTTAAAACTCTAGACAGGGAAATGGGGACTGAATGAGTGGCCGAGAAGAATGGCGTCCTTCAGCACCATGGACAGAACCCAGCGGCCGCAGAACATTCCAGAATGCCTGCGTTCTAAAAGCGTCTTGTCTCTTGGAAAGAGCAACTGTATCCTTGATTCAGTGACACTGCCACAGCTAGGAACACTCCAGGTCTCTGGAAGTATTGCCTTCGAAACTGAAACAGGAGCAGCCCGACACTTTTGTGTTTCTTTACAGACATCCACGTCAAAGGATTTCCTACCAGGCTGTAACCTAACCTGATCTATAATCTTTTGTCATTTGTCAGACTTTGTGATTTGTAAAAGGCCTGGAGTTATGGACATGTTTCTGAAGAGCACATCTCCAATGATTTTCATAAAGCAAATGTCTGCTATTTATTTATTGAGAGTTTTTTAGTGTACTCTAGGCAGTATTTTTATAGATTATGATTATGTGGCAATTTACTCTTCCTGACTCTTTAATCCTGGATGGTGGTCGGAATAGGCTAGGATCGGGCTGGTGAGTTACTGAATTCACAATGCTCGTTGTTACCTTGAAATCGGTATTTGACGTGGAGAAGTGCAGCATTGTTTGAACCTCTCGGCTTCAGGCAATTTGCTGCTTCATAACAGATCAGCTATAACACTCTCTAATGTACATAAATGTCCAAAAGAACAAAATTGAAAGCCAAAAATTGTGTTATCAAAACAAAAAGATGCTAATGAGAGAAACTGAAAGATACCATAGCTTGTTTTCAGCAGCGACTGATAATGCAAGCTATTTCTCGTTGATTTCAACTTTCCGCTTCGCTAGAATGTAGCAGAATATCCCCCAAGTTCCTCCTGCAAATCTAAGATTGCAGGAGCCTATCTCACTGATAGGAAGGTTAGACAGTTGGATTGATGTGGCACTGACAGTAGCCGGAACCTTCCAGTCAGGGTGGAGATGTCAGGGTCCTCTGGGAAGAAATCACGCTTCCTCCTGGGTCTCTCTTGCCAAACCACTATCCCTAGATTCTTAAAGAAAATGAAGAATTGGAGGGGGTGGAGGCAGTGCCAAGAGCTGCCCTGTTTTCAGAACACAGACCAGTTCTGACCCACTGGATGCAAGTCTTAGAATAATGTAAAGGACTACCCTCTCCACTCAAATCCACGATCAAATAGTATTACAGACTTTCATTTTAAAATTTTGTACCACTCAGAAAAGTAAGAATATGATAGACTCTTCTTTATATACACAAAGGGACATTAGTGTGTCAAGTGACAGACTTGAGGGCAGCAGCTAATGTCCTGAGGGAACAGGCATTGTTCTATAAACAGGACAGGGTTTGTGAACAAAGTGTCTCACACCACCCATTTTCTTAATTAGAGATAAAGTCCCATTCCCTTTTATGAAGGAGAACTTTTTGTTATGCGGAGTGCCATTGTGGAGATGCAAATACAGGCCAGGTATTCAGACAGCAAAGGCAACGTGTTATTGTGGTGTGGCTTGAGTTATTTAAAGCCAGTAAAAAAGAAAAAAGAAAAAAATTGAAATGGCTGTCCAAGGCATGGTGGAATTCATTCTTCAAGTGTCTTCTGAGTTTTTGTAGGAAAATGAATTTTACTCTACCACAGCACGACCTCTGAGTAGTATTCTTACGCACACAGGAAGAAGGGTGTGAACTGCACACAGTTGATTGACAGGTCACCTTCACAATCCTTTGAAGAGATTATTTGTTGAAATATAAGTGGTTTGTTTGATAATTCCTATACTTAAGGAATTTTGGAAAAGCATAGCTACCAAGGGGTAAGAATACTATCTGACCTGATCTACTGTCTTACTGTCTGAGTATCTTTGGGTGTGGTGTGGTGTGTGTGTGCGTGTGTGTGTGGTATGTGTGGTGTAGTATGTGTGTGTTTATGTGTGGTGTGTATGTATGTGTGCATGGTGTGTGTATGTGGGGGTGGTGTGGGGGTGTGGCTGTTGTATGTATGTGTGGGGGGGAGTGGTGTGTGTGTGTGTGCATGAGATGTGTGTGTATGTGTAGGGAGTGAGATGTGTGTGCATGTGTGTGTGAGTGTGTGTGTGTCTTTAAAGGAGAAAAGCTCACAGAGAACATCAAGATACACCTTTTTTTTTTTTTTCTAATTTTCTCCTCTCAAATACTCAAAAGAATAAAAGGCAACCAAGTGCCCAAAGTCTTGGTTCCTTCACAGAAAAATATTTTAAATTCACTTGTAGCTACAATATGTGACTTTGTGTGTTTTTTTTTTTCAAAACATAGTGTAGCTAAGTATAAGAAATGATCACTTGGGTCGCAGTTTTACTGCAGCATTAAGGAAGATGCCGAGAGCTGGGACGGCGTGTGCTGATGGCCCTGGTTGTGGGCGATTGAACTCATGTCTTAACACTATTATTATTATTTCACAACCGTCAGGCTTAATGCCATCAAACACCATTAAACACAAACTCTGATATAGGACACACTTACAGACTTCAGTGAATTCGGGATATTTGAAGCCCGCTCAGACTTGGTATTGTTACCTTTCTCTTCTCTCCCCAGTGGTATCATCAGCCTCCTCCTAGCTTTTAAGACCATGATAATATGATGCCACAGCTGGGCGATCCATGGCTTCTGTTATTTCAACACAAGAACATTTGGCAGAGGCCATTACAATAGATAGCCATTATGGGCAAAGATACAGGAATTCACAAACAGAATCAATCACTTCAAATGGCCCATAAAAAGAGGAATCTCACATTTAATATTCTACAGTAAATATTCACCCAAGAAAGCGCACATTAAAAGAACATTAGGAGGTAAATATTCAGTGTGCTGCATGGGGACTTGGCTGTGTGATTGCCATTCTCATAAGTGGGTGTTAGGGAGCTGGGCCCTTTTCCTCTGTTCATCCTGCTCTATACTCCTTAGGGCTGGGCACAGAAACAGATCAATTCAGGGACACACAAGTCCTGAGAGCACAGAGCTCAGTAAGACCCAATGAAAAAAGACAGTAACTGCCAGACTCGTGTTCCAAAGACAGGGCACCTCTGAACCATCTGAACCCCCATCAGAATGGATACAGAGAACCTCATATTGAAATAAACACGGTCTTCACATTTCAAAGACCTTTAGCAGGTGAATGAGTGGTAGGAAGTAAGAGGAAATGTAGAAATTCAGTTAGGATGCGGACAGTGCTGTGTACCTATGTTGTACCTCTCCAGATATTTACCCTGGGGAGTGACTCTGGGTCTCCCTGAAGGAGTCCTACCCTGACAAAGGTCCCAGCTTTGGTTCTGAGCATTTCACACTGAGTAGTCATGTCCTCCATCCTCCTGCCTCTCTTGAGCTCCCATGTCTTCACCATCAACCTCTCCAGATCCTTCTGCCTTCAATATTCACAGGACCTGTTGGATTGGTCAGGTCTTCCTGATGGGCTGGTAACTCAAGACCTGTCTAGAGAATGGGTTCGGTGTAGAGCCTCCTGGAGCATTGTAGGGGTAGGTCCAAGAGTCGATCCCACTACAAGACAGGGTACTGCAGATGTGACCCTGGCTGGCCTAGACTAGGGGAAGAGGGAGTTTAAGTCCTAAAAGTAGGGCCATCTTGGACAAAGCAGGCTATAATGTCATCCTCTCTGAAGTTTCTCAAAACAAAACAAAACAAAACTAGATGAAAATCCAAAGCCTGAGGAGGTGGGGTGAGAGGAGAGCTACAGACTGCCTGGGTTTTAGCACATACCAGAGACATTCTCAAGTGGAAAGAGGTGAGACTGTCCAGAAGGCTTGGAACCACATGGGAGTCCTTGGTTAAAGCTCACTCCCCCACCTACTCAGGGTATTGAAATGTAAATGCAAAAACAAAAAAATAAATAAGGCTAAGGTCTTGTTTTCTACTTGTGGCCCAGTATGACATGCTACCTTGGATTGTCCTGTGTCTGTCTATGTGTCTGTTAGACTAGATTGTAAGCTCCTTGAGGGCAGGGGCTGTCTCTCCTTTGTCTTTGTAGCCCCATACCTAGTACAGTGCCTTGCACACAATAGGCGCTCAATAAATGTCTGTTGTTGATGTTCACCTCTCTAATGTTGACGCACTGGATCGACACTTGAACACAAATTCATTCTATTCTAGAAGAACAAGCGAGTCACTGGGTCGTGAGGTAGATAAATTTCAAGTGGGTTTTACAGGGTCAGTTTCTAAACATACAATGTGTTCAGTCAACAGAACTGGCCTACGTTTGGGTAGGGCAAGCTTGCCGTTCATTAGGTTTGCTAATGCCGGCTGGACTGAACGCACAGGGAAGGTAAAGTTCAGTGAGCTTTGTGTTTTCACCGTTAGTGAAGTGCTCTGAGCACAAATTAAATTTAATATTGACAAACGCTGCTGCATGTGCAGACGGGCAGAGAAGCAGCAAGGACTCTGGCTCCAGCGGTAGAGCTCGAAAGAAAGCTAAAAGGAAATGAGATACAGCTCGCCTCCACCTTGACCGACAGCTCCATGAAGGTAGCAGGAAAGCCACATCAAAACTAAGGACACATTCACCTTAAAGAAAAATGAGGGGGGCGGGGCACAGTATAAAAGCAGAAACACTTTTGTCTCCCTGAAGCAGATCCAGATTTTATCCCTACCAGAGTCCAGCCTCTGCAGTCACCTGAGCCAGCTCCTGGCCTTAAAGGTCAGCAAGCTGCCACAGGCAGGGCTTCTCTCTGAAGGACAGTGGCATCTTCCTGAGCTTGGGCCCACTCTACTCACTGTCTGCCCCTTCCCATTTTGTCAAGAGTTTCAGTTTCATTTGCTGACGCTGAGGAGGAGGACGAGGAGGAGGAGGAGGAGGAGGAGGAGGAGGAGGAGGAGGAGGAGGAGGAGAAGGGGAGAGAGGGAGGAGGAGGAGGGGGAAGGAGGAGGAGAAGGAGGGGGAGGAGGAGGAAAAGAAGAGGGGATGAGGAAGAAGAGGAGGAGGAGGAAGAAGAGGAGGAGGAGGAAGAGGAGGAGGAGGAGGAGGCCTGGAAACAGCACAGGAGGAAGACAGTGCTTGTTCCTACCCAGAATCAGACATCTCCCCACATTGGTGCACAGCACATGAATGAAGTGATTTGAACAGGAATTCAAACAGAGTCTCAACAGGGCTGTGGGAAGACCCTCACACATGTTGCCTCTGCTGTCCTGCGGACCATGCCTGCTCCCCATGAAGTCATGTCTCTGTCCTGAGGAACATGCTTGTTTCCATGTGAAGACACCTTTCTGTCTTGGGGAACACGCCTGCTCCCCATGTGGTAATTTCTTCATGTCTGGTCTTCACCATGAAATTAGTTCTTTAGTTTCCAAATTAGGAAATCTGGTAGGCTAAATTAGAACGTTACATCATACTATTAAACATCCAGTGTGCTGTGTATGTCACTGACAAGACATATTCTGTTTTCCACAATCCCACCTCCCACATTCTTTTGCACATAAGAAAACTGAGACCAATGGGTGCTAAATTGCTGACCCTCAGATGCAAGCCGATCCTTGGCAAAGGCTCATTGTCCAACTTTGCTGTGGGCTGTTTCTCTATAGATGCATTTAGCAATCAGGATAACAACACATTTTCACAGTTCCCATTTAACAGATGTAAACACTGAGGAACAAGACACTAGAGTAACTTCCCACAACCATAACGCTGCTCATTGCATTAAGTAGATTAGGAGCCTGACAGCTTATTTCTGGAGTTTCTGTCTGTTTTCTCCAATTGTTCTGGACAGAAATTTAATGTTATAGGTAATAATCTATATGGGAATATTTGATTGTAATATTTGATATTTGCTAAATATGCAAATACACAAGTTATAGAGCAGGAACATCACCCGAAGCCACCTACACGTTCCTCCTAACCTCAGGTTTTCTGCTCTCTGCTCTGCTTTCTACCTCACGTTATTAGACATGGATGCATCTTTGAACACTGTGTTCTTTGGTTTTATGCATAAATATCATACAACTGCCAAGACACTTCATATAGTCTCCCGAAATTCACGTTTTTTCCCTAAGTGTATTTGCTTTCTTTTCCTGTAACCAGTTGATTTTCACTACTGTGAAATGCCAGGATATTGATACGCACAGAGGTTGAGTGTAAGTAGAGCCCTGGAATACAGATACAGAGATGAAGGGATCCTGGCTGTGCCTGGAGCTAGTGACCAGAAACCTTCTGAGGTAGGAGATGGAAGATGGACACTGACTCCCTCCATCGCCCAGGTCCTGAGACAGCCCCAGGCCCATTTCCCCACATGAGCTGTCTGTCTGGGGTGGGAGCAGAGCTTTCGATCTGAGAGCCCTTCCCAGTCCATGACTCTGCTCCTCACTGACTTTACCTCTCACATCATCTGTATACACCAAAGCAATCTGAGCCACCTAAGCCCAGAAATAAACTCCAGACACAGCTCCATCAGCAGCTGACAGTTGGGTCCCCTCTCTGCTTCTAGGAGGTTTCTCTACCACTTACTACACTCTTCCCTCCCGGTTTCCATGAAGTCAGTGCATTGTTCTTGATGGCCACAAGGCAGCAACACAACAGAGAACGAAGTTTGCAAC